CCTTTGGATACAGTTCTCGGCCTCCACGGATTAGCTGCACCAGCTCCGGTGAGGATTCCCAATTTATTAATTGGTGAAGGGATCTCGATAGACAATTAAGATTCGTTCTGATACGTTCTCGATTCGTCGCTCTCTGTCGCTCGCACTATTTGCCGGACTCTTACTCCGACCCTCTCTACCTCAAACCTAGCAGCCTGAGCGGCCGTGCATTTCCGTAACCGTCCGCTCCCGTTCGTGTATCCAGTTGCGTTTGCTGATTTTACGCGACCCCAAAAATCGACAGGATCCGTTAAGCTATCGCCTCTTCTGATAGGTTCCGTCAGAGCTCTCGTTCTTGGTGGAGTTGGGCCTGTTCCATCCCAACTCCCAGTTTATACCGGCTCGTCAGTTCCCGGTAAAAAAAGAATTGACTGGCGCCCGCCTGGCTTGCGGATGCACGAACGACGGGTGGACGGCCGAAGGTAACGTAGGTTGGTTCTCGAAGATAGTCGTTCCCGTATGTCTTGCTATCGGTGTCGGGTCAAGTTAAAGAAAAATTACGTTACAAGGGTTACGGTAGTTTCTGAGGGTACACTACCCTTTTTCATATGGAATGTCGGGGTTTTCGAGGCGTCGAGAGCATTACGGAATCGCAGCCCGCATCACCTAGGTCTCACTATATCGGACAATTTTAGTTATCGCTATTTTGTGGTTTCCGAAGTGGCGTGGTAATCTTGTACCCAAGTCTTGCAGATAGTTTAAATTAGCCGGTAGTTTCTAATGCCGGCTGTAGCGGTGCCCTTTATGTAAGAAGAGTACCGAACTGTTACCGGGTGTAGTTGATACTTGTCGCTTTCGCTCTTCGAGTGGGATAGATGGAAAGACATACATAAACACAGGTAACTTCACCGTGTAAATATAGTTTCTAGAGTCTAAATTTTATTACAGGACTTGAGAAGACATCCTGAATACCTGGACTATAAGAAAGGCGGGACCTGTCAGACGTCCGACTGTCGCAGGAAGCCTGGACGGGTCAAGGAAATCACCTGGGAGTCAGACAGTTGTCAGAGTTGGCGATCGCGAGGCCAATGCGGGTAGGCCTGTCGCCCTAGTGTACCGCAATGGTCACTATACTAGGCGACTTCCTGTGTCTTAGCGATACTGTTCTTCCGACTAAAAGAGATATTTCCTTAGCCAGCACAACCCTGGATGGGGAAAATTAGGACAACTGCCGCCTCGACTCAACAAGAGACTGGGGAGAATGATTCCCACAATTCGAGCTCCGCATGATATCACGGGCCCCGAAAATAGTGCAACCACCCTCGACGACAGAAACGCCAACTACTAACCAACACGGAGAACGGCTATCGGGCCGCCACTACAACCAATCAAGGAAGCAACTATTCATTCGTGTACGTACCGTTCTTGCGAGTGCCTCCTTTTTCCGTGATAATGCGATTTTCGTAACTATTAGGTTGGCAACTTATAAACCCGCCATTTTCTTCGACCACTTTCTAAAATGTTATAGAAGCTTCTAGAATAACTTAGTGCAGTATATAAATAGAGCGTGAGTGAAGGGTCTCGATCATTCAGTAATTAAACGTTGAGCGGTAAAGGTTACGGAAAACATGGATATTTCTCGAAGGGAACTTTGACTACTCTTACTTCACAAATTTCGTTTAGGTCGAAAAGCGACCGAAGCAATTTCGAATATATGTGCAACGATGGGTGAAAGTGTGGTGTCCTACGATACGGCCAAACATTGGTACAGGAGATTCAGGGAAAATTCAAGGAAATTTCGATCTTTCTGATGATGATCATCCAAGACGACCGCCTACAGTAAATGTGGAGGAACTAAAAAGGCTTATAGAAATGGATCCCAGATTAAGTTCGCGTTGTCTGTCGGAACAACTTCACTGCTCTCACACCGTAATAGAAAAACATCTCCATGCTTTAGGATTCAAGTGGAAATATGCAGTTTGGTTGCCACGTGAACTGACACCACGCTAATTTCAACAGGGAGCCGACGTGTGCATGGACTTGCTTAGTTTTCATCGTACCAAGGAGTAGCTGCGGGATGTTATTACTGGAGATGAAAAATGGGTGATGTACATTAATTTCACTCGTAGGCGTCAGTGGCTTAGAGCTGGAGGAACAAACACAAGTAGAAAGGTTCTATTAAGTGTGTGGTGGGGAATAAATGGGATTATTCACTGCGAGCTTCTACCGATGGATAGTACAGTCACAGCAGCTGTTTATTGTGAACAACTTGACCGTGTTGCAGCTAGATTACCAAAGAATTAAAGTAAAGTATTGTAACGTTACAAAACAATCATCCTCTCAGTACTCGTGTACTGAGAGCGCACGCGTTACAGAAGGACGGCAAAGACACGCGTCTAGTCGAAACACGCGCCGATAGATGGAGAACGTCTCCCAAAAGTGAAAATAAGGAAAGTTAGTATCAAAGTAATCCGATAGATGATTAGCGCTTCCCGCTAACAAATGTCAGATTACAATTTGTTAAATACGACATTTCAAGTCTATCGAAGGCAGTTCACTAAAAGTCGGAATTACTAGAGTAGATAAACTCAAGTTCATCGAGAATCTACAGCAATAGAGAGGATAGTGGCTAGTTGTCAGAAAACTCGTCGTACGTACTCGTGTCTAAAGGCTACGGGATATTAGCTCTTGCTACTCCACGTAAACCTTGCGTAGAAAGATTGTCAAAGCTCTGTGGAGACCACCGTGATCTTCCGCAGAGACTTTCATTATCGCCATATTGTAATCAGTCATCCGCGCCGTTAGGAGTTGCGTCGCACACAGTGCCATAGCCACTAGGTAGGCAAAGCGCCACTAGGGTTATTGAACCAACACGGGCAGATCCTCTGTACCTCACGCATAGGTCAGAGAGAGATAGGGATAGATAACAAACAGAGGCAGATACCTAGACAATCCGATTTTCTACAATACCGACTGTTAATCACGACTGGGTAATTGACACCTGCCTAAAACTACTGTATCGATCATCGATTATTTAATAAAATTTTGTTATTTTATGTCAGATTACAATTTGTTAAATACGACATTTCAAGTCTATCGAAGGCAGTTCACTAAAAGTCGGAATTACTAGAGTAGATAAACTCAAGTTCATCGAGAATCTACAGCAATAGAGAGGATAGTGGCTAGTTGTCAGAAAACTCGTCGTACGTACTCGTGTCTAAAGGCTACGGGATATTAGCTCTTGCTACTCCACGTAAACCTTGCGTAGAAAGATTGTCAAAGCTCTGTGGAGACCACCGTGATCTTCCGCAGAGACTTTCATTATCGCCATATTGTAATCAGTCATCCGCGCCGTTAGGAGTTGCGTCGCACACAGTGCCATAGCCACTAGGTAGGCAAAGCGCCACTAGGGTTATTGAACCAACACGGGCAGATCCTCTGTACCTCACGCATAGGTCAGAGAGAGATAGGGATAGATAACAAACAGAGGCAGATACCTAGACAATCCGATTTTCTACAATACCGACTGTTAATCACGACTGGGTAATTGACACCTGCCTAAAACTACTGTATCGATCATCGATTATTTAATAAAATTTTGTTATTTTATTTTACATTACCAACCTGTGTCGACTACATTCTTAAAGACGCCAGCCCCGAACACTTACCTGCATCCCATTTCGTACACTCACAAGGAGCGTACGAAATTGCACTATCGAAAAACGTTACAGTATCAAGAGACTCGGTCGAGTCTCGCGCCAAGTACAGGCAACCGGCTGTAACCAACGGGGATAGGGCTTGCCCGAAATCCTGAGGACACCCTGATTCAGCTCTCGGAGTGGACTCTCTAGTCTAGATCTCGTACTTGGCCTTCGGGCCAATTGCTCTCGTTACCGGCTCTCGGGCCTAGCTCTCGTTACGTGG